TGGGTTTCTAGTTTTAGCTGCCTCAGGATGCTGTGTGGGAGAGGGGAGACTTTCCTCTTAGGTTTGGTGTTAGATTTGAGATAAACTGACAACAGGTGGGCCTACAAATATCCCCGTGCTTACATATATGCATACATGAAAGGCATGGCGGGAAGGGAAAGCAAAAACCCTCTCTGAAGCCTGATTCGGGGACTTTTGTTTCAGTTTAATCGGATCGGGAGAAGGTCAGGAAATACAGGCCACTTTGGGGACAGTTAATGACTCTCAGGGAAGAGGAATGGCCCTTAGAAGAAGAAATGGGCAGTGGGACAGGCATAAGGCAGTGGCCCTGACCTCTAGGACACTCTTCCCAGTTGCACACTCCGGGGAGGGTCTAATAGTCCTCCAGCCGGAGGACCTGGCTTTTAGAAGATAAGGACATCCCAGAGAAACTGTGTCCATTGTGTTCCAGGACCTTCCTCCCCAAAACAATCCGCATCAACACACCAGTTGCACATTTTAGAGTAGCATGACCTGAAACCCTGTCAGGAACAAAGGTGACTTTTAAACAATTAAAAATATGTCATTCAGTCATAAACAAGATTTTCATAATTAAAAGAGTTAAAATAATTTTCAATACTTTAAAACATTTTTGTATTAAAAGCCCAGTCCTTTACTTAGATGTGGTAGCATACGCCTAGAATCCCAGTGCTCAAGAGGCTGAGGCAGGAGGCTATGTTTGAAGCCAGTCTGGGCTACATAGCAGGATTTTGTCTCAAATAAAATGGAAAGCCCAGATCCTGAACCTGGGCTACATGGGTTCAAGGCCCATGTGTTTCACGTACTGCCTATCTGCACTGTCTGTGATCATTCTGTGCCTCAGTTTCCATGTGTGCAAACTAGAGCAGGGGCATAGCTCAGTGGCAGAGAGTTTGCCTAACAAGCACAAGTCCCTGGGTTCAGTCCCAGTGTCAAAAGGAAGTGACGGGGAGAGTAACAGAATGAGAGGAAATGATACCTACCATAAAGGGTTTGGCTAGGAAAAGTGTTTATATCAACCACATGGTATCAGGCACACAGCAAACACCTCATAATATAACAGTCAGCATTTTGATGTTATCATAGCATTTTTATTCATGTAGTGTGTGTGTGTGTGTGTGTGTGTGTGTGTGTGTATGTGTGTGCGCGCATGTATGTGTGTGTGTATTAAACTTGGGTTGTCAGTCTTCACTTTACCTGCTGAGCCATCCCACTGGTCCCTTGTTACAACATTTAAAAAAATAATTTTATACTGGTGGGGACCATGAATAAGTAAAATGAGCAAGCAAGTGAAAAGCTAAAATGGACAGACGGATCTCCACGAGGAGGGGAGGTAGGCACTTAACAAATCTCAGATCTCCCTTACAGACTCTAGAGTCTGATGCGTCTCAACCTGACAAGAGGGTCTTGCTTTCCTGGTGACGTGTACATTGTATTTTCCTTTTGTAGTGTGTTTTAGGTGCTTTTTCTACCATAAATGATGCAAACAAGCTCAGGCGGGACAAACCACAGGCACCCGGTACCTGAGCACATGCAGGGCAAGCTGGTCACAGAATGACCCAGGAGCACACAGTCCCTAAGGCCTTCATCTTTATGTTACGACCCTCCCTGAGATTCCCTTACTTTTTTATTAGCGAAAGGTCAAGGGTCAGGGGCTTCTTAAAACTTTTTGTGTTTGAATAGTGTGAATACACAACCTGCAGCTTCCAGTATCCTTCATAAAGGATTCCTAGAGTGTGGAGCAAAATGGGTTTCCCTGATTGAGATCCAGCTGGAAGTGTGTGTGTGTGTGTGTGTGTGTGTGTGTGTGTGTGTTGTACTCACGAGTGGGAGTGCAGGGGAGGCCAAGGAGGATATCGGATATCCTGCTTTGATCCTCCTGGCTCCACCCTCCACAGTTGGGGCTAAAGGGGTCCCCAGGACCAGCCTGGCTTTTTATATAGGTGCTGGGATCAGAACTCAGGTGTCCATTGCACAGGAATACTCTTAGCCATAGAATCATCGCATCAGTCCACACAGGATGAAATGGGAAGAAGGGCTTTGATTGGTGTATTCTGCTCACCTAGACCCTTATGCTTGGGAGTCCTAGAACAGAGGAAGGCAAACATGCCTTTTACTATGGGCTGTAGCATCCATGAGGTCTTTCCATAGCCGGGGCTCATTGTGAACATCATCCATCCATCCATCCATCCATCCATCCATCCATCCATCCATC